GGGGGGGGGAATCATTTGCAGGGCGCGCTTTTGAAATTAAGCACTGCCTAAGACAATAATTTTCTTGGACCACAATGGCGGTCAGATACAGAGGAACGACACAGCCACAAGTGAGTGTGTGTGTGTGTGTGAGAGAGAGAGAGAAAGAGAGGGGGGGGAAGCAGGGGGGCAGGGGGGCGGATCATTTGCACGGCGCGCTTTTGAAATCGACCGTTGTCCAAGGCAACTATTTTCTTAGACCGTAATTGCAGTCAGATACAGCCTAAGAAAACGACACAAGCACAAGTGTGTGTGTGTGTGTGTGTGTGTGTGTGTGTGTGTGAGAGAGAGAGAGAGAGAGAGAGAGAGAGGGAGAGAGAGAGAGATGGAGAGAGAGAAGGGGGGGGGGGGGGGGGGGCGGATCATTTGCAGGGCTCGCTTTTGAAATTGAGCGCTTTCTAAGGTAGCGATCTTCTTGGACCGCAATTGCAGTTATATACAGAAGAATGTCACAAGCACAAGTGAGTTTGTGTGTGTGTGTGAGAGAGCGAGATAGAGAGCAAGAGAGGGGGCAGGGGGGCGAATCATTTGCAAAACACGCTTTTGAAATCGAGCATTGCCTAAGGCAGCAATGTTTTTGGACTGCAATTGTGGTGAGAACTAAAAAAACGACACAGGGTCTGGCACAAGTGTGTGTACGTGTGTGTGTGCAACAAAAAAATTCCCACGAGAAATGAAAGTTGAAAAAACATTCCATAAAAAAAAAATCCTTCATATTTATAAATTATCATTCCAATGTTCATCGAATTCTACAATTTTCAATTTTATTTGATAAGTTCCCGTCTAAAAATGAGTTTTCCCTTCCAACTGAATTGCTCATTTGCACTGTTTGTTCTCTCAGGCGCGATAGCGAAGGAGACGCTGCAGTAGTCCGCAGCGAGATGGACACGACTTATTTTATGTATCCAACCACGTGGTTGGAGACACCCAAATTGACGAACTCAAGATGGGGACCACCGTCTGTCGTGAAAGGGGTTCACTCCAGAGAACCAACCCTTGGTCAACCCCCAATCATGTCTATGAGACGCAGTTGAACGGGTTCGTGAACGTGAAGATGAAATGAAAGTCTGGACGAGTTTATGAAACATTTTTA